ACACTGAGGGTTGCGATCCGTTGCCGGTCACGAAAAAAGACAAAAAGGAAAAAAAAAAAACGAAAAGCTTTCCTTGATAGATGGCTGGAGATATAGATAGATCCACATAGTCCCAGAACTGCCGTAAGAATCCAAGAGTCAAAGAACCATTTTTAGCTACTTTTCTAAGAAATAGAAATAAATCTATAAATGAATTATGTATAAAGATACACGAACAGATAAATAAATCTCACTAATTTGGAGTTTTCTCTTACAGATATGTTTTTATGTTGGGCTAGAAAACTCTCCGCATGGTTTCATGTTTTCTAGACTTCACGTTAGCAAACTTAGTATTGTCCTTGCTCAAATGTGGTAATTATTGATCTAAGGGGAGTTGTGGAGTGATCGGTTGGGTAAGGGACATAATGAATAATTGTGATTAGTAATAATTGATATGCTAATATATTTTTTTAATTTATTAACCCATTTGTTAGAAGAAATTGTCCACTGCTATAGAAAGCATGTGGGTAGTGCAGCATTACCTTCGGACTACAGTGATTTAATTGTCAAATAAACATTTTCCTAGCCCATGTCTAAGATACTGTAAAGAAGAGTAAGAACTAGAATAGTCTTGAGAATCACAGGACCGTGGACTCGATAGTACAGCATAAATAGTACCAGATGCCTTAACATTCCCTGCTAACATCACGTAATGATGGTCCATCTCATTAGAAAAATTACTGATATTCGTTATTAGAAAAATTATGTATTATGCAGAAGGGGGTGATGCAAGTGAAAACTTTTAGAAGTTCAAAGTCCTATGCAAATGCCAAATGGAATTGTTTGTAGAAGAACGTTAACACAGGGCAAATAGATGTCCCCTCTGTGAAATGAGGGAGCCAGCTTCAGAAGATTCAGGAGAGCTTCTGATTTCATAGTTCCGTGACTTTATCTTCTCACAGTGACGGTCATGGGATGTGGCTGGTCACTGCAGTCACCAACAGATCCATCTTAGAACTTTGTGGGAAAGAACTGAAAAACACAAATGGTAGAAAGCCAGGTTTGCAGGATGCCAAGAGTGTGCTCAAAGGAAACTACACAGTGTTACACTCCTGTGAATCAATAAGTGTAAAAAGCTCTTTTATGTTCTCTTGTGTGTTTGTTTTCATCACACAGTGGAGGCTCTCCATCTGGGGACGCTGATGGCCGCCCATGGCTACTTCTTTCCCATCTCAGATCATGTCCTCACGCTCAAGGACGATGGCACCTTTTACCGATTTCAAGTAAGTTTCATGAAAATGTTCCTTAACAGGAAATTAGAAACTTGCATTTTGTTTTTCAGGGTTTTTTGGTAGTTTTGTTTTCTAAAGAACTTTTGAAAACTAGGTATTATTTTCTTCAACTCAGGCTAGTTAGAAACTAACTAATGGTGAAACTTAAGATGTAAATGGCAATGAACACAGAGAAAGATGGAATGTGCTTAGTTAAACATGATTTCTGAAAGCTAAATTGTGTGATGTTCGAAGTTATATTTTATAGAAGGAGCTTAAGGGAAATTCAGTAAGTGGCAATGGGATTTGGGAAGATGAGAGGGTCTTCATCTGTGGGTTGCATTTAGCTACTAGGGAGGGAGTTGAGAGGCATTTAACTAAATTTATTATCCTGTGGCTCTTGTCTGTGATCCAGAACTATCCTCAGTCCAAGTAAACTCTCATGGGAATGCTTGAAGCTCCAGGGTAGAATTTAGCTAATCATGCAAACCCTCTACATGAGGGCATCTGAGGCCCTTCTACAAGTCTGTGAAGACTGACATGAGGCTGCCATGTGTGCCACTCACCTGAGACGGGACACCTTAGTTAACTTGCAAACTGATAAGAGTCATTGTAGGTCATTTTCAAATGACACAGATGCTGATATTGTTTCAGGAGATGGTTGTGGACTCTAATCAGTCACTGGGCATACAGTTGACACTTAAATTCACAATGGTTTACCTGAAGTGTATTCTACGTTTCATTAGACATCATGGCTCATTAAGAACTGACTAGTGGGTTCCAGCCTATAAAATTAAGGCATATAGAAATGCCAGAGTTCAAACTCTAGCTTATCTCCTGAAGGTATGCTCTGGAGGTCCTCCCCTTCTGCCCCTTTCAGACTTTAGAGCATTCCCCTTACTTGTTCTGAGTATTATTAAATAATCTGTGTCTAGATAAATGACCGAATAGGATTTGAGTGCCTAAAACTGGCTTGGGAAAACTTAGAGCAAAAAGAAAATATGCTTTAAACATTATTTTGTTCATTTGCTTTGAAAAATCATTTCAAATGTCCTTGTCCTCCTAGAACAGTCTCACTGCCATTTTCTTAGGACCCATTTATGCCACAGCAAATAATCATGGGACATTTTTGCACTGAGTAGCCAGGAGACAAAGTAGTCTCCTGAAACTGTGATTCTGATCTAAGCATTTAGTTAAATTACCACTTAATTTTAAATGTTTTAATGTAACAGTGCTTTATTCTTTACACAGCTAAACTTAAAGTAATGGTAGCTTAAAACAGCTTATTATTAAGTTAGAGTAACTTGTGGTGTTAAGGTTACCATTTAAAAAGATAAGAATTATCAGTGATTAGGAAGTAAATTGTTTATATGTGACTAACACTTCTTGTTTTTTAAAGGACTCTCCTTTCTACTGGAAGGTTACATTTCTTATATAATCTTATTTTCTTATATTTCTTATTAATCTTTCTTATATAATCTTATTTCTTATATTCTTTATAAAAAATTTTATAGAGAGATTATAAATAAACTTTAGGTCTCACAAAATTCTCACAAACTCTGAATGAAATGTTTGTTTTTTACAAAAATAAAACTTTTGTTCATCTTTGCTGTCAATATTATAAGTAAAATTATCCATATGTAAATGAACATAGCTATCTATAAAGGAAACAAGCCTATCTCTTGCTTGAGAATTATCTAATTCAAAAGTTTTCCATTAGACAAACTAGGTCAGGCCCACCGGTAGTGACGATGGCTTAAATTAGCAATAATTTGCAATCTTCAACTCTGCTCTGAGATTAATAGTCAGACAAGGTTTAAATGTCTCAGTCATGCTCATGGGTCATAAATGAGCAAAGCTTGGAATGGACGACCGCGACCTGCATTCCAAGGTGTTCACTTGTTCAAAGTGTTCGTTCCATTTTTATATTGGTTCCAAGCAGCAGAACGTTCTTTATTACAGTGAACTGAAATTCAACTCAT